CTTTCTTGTCTCGTGTGTGTGTGTGTGTGTGTGTGTGTGTGTGTGTGTGTGTGTGTGTGTGTGTGTGTGTGTGTGTGTGTCCAGGCCAACCCTAATGAGCTCACCAACGGTGTGATCAACGCTGCCTTCATGCTGCTTTTTAAAGACTCCATCCGTCTGTTTGCCGCCTACAATGAAGGGGTCATCAACCTGCTGGGTAAAACCCTCACTCTGCCTATCTGATAGCACAGGGGTGTGTCCTAATCTCACTCGCTCAGAAAAGAGCGCTCTAGTCTCATTCACAGGGGTGTGTCCTAATCTCACTCGCTCAGAGGCGTGCACTCTATTCTTCCTTGCTCAAAGAATGACGCTCTGTTCTCAGTCACGGGGGTGTGTCTTAATCTCGGTCGCTCTGAGGAGTGCGCTCAGTTCTCACTCTCTCTGAGAGGGTGTTCTCTTCTCATTCTCCACGAGGCTGCTCTCTCTCACCCACTCGTCAGGCTGCTCTGTTCTCTCTCTCACCCACTCGTCAGGCTGCTCTGTTCTCTCACCCACTCACTCACTCGTCAGGCTGCTCTCTTTCACCCACTCACTCAGAATGCCGCTCTCTTCTCTCACACACACACTCAGAATGCCGCTCTCTTCTCTCACACACACACTCAGAATGCCGCTCTCTTCTCTCACACACACACTCAGAATGCCGCTCTCTTCTCTCACACACTCACTCAGAATGCCGCTCTCTTCTCTCACACACTCACTCAGAATGCCGCTCTCTTCTCTCACACACTCACTCAGAATGCCGCTCTCTTCTCTCACACACTCACTCAGAATGCCGCTCTCTTCTCTCACACACTCACTCAGAATGCCGCTCTCTTCTCTCACCCACTCACTCAGAATGCCGCTCTATTCTCTCACCCACTCGTCAGGCTGCTCTATTCTCTCACCCACTCGTCAGGCTGCTCTATTCTCTCACACACTCGTCAGGCTGCTCTATTCTCTCACACACTCACTCAGAATGCCACTCTATTCTCTCACCCACTCGTCAGGCTGCTCTATTCTCTCACACACTCACTCAGAATGCCGCTCTATTCTCTCACCCACTCGTCAGGCTGCTCTATTCTCTCACCCACTCGTCAGGCTGCTCTATTCTCTCACACACTCGTCAGGCTGCTCTATTCTCTCACACACTCACTCAGAATGCCACTCTATTCTCTCACCCACTCGTCAGGCTGCTCTATTCTCTCACCCACTCACTCAGAATGCCACTATTCTCTCACCCACTCACTCAGAATGCCGCTCTATTCTCACTCTCAGAGAAGACTGCTCTGTCCACAGTCTTAGAGTGCTCTTTTCTCACTCTCTGAGAGAAGGGTGATCTGTCTCTCGCAAAAAGACCTCCACTCAGCAGGTTGCTGCTATCTGAGACTGCATCATTAGATGTGTAAGAGGCAGTGTCGAGCAGCCTGCTGGTTCCTGTGGCTTTCACTACATGCCATCATGCTGTCTTTCTGAAGTGGCGCGTGTTGGCAGAGCACAGAGAAGTGCTATTGTTAGCACTGACATGGCTCAAATCTTCTTTTTCCTGTAAGCTGTTTTTAGAGCACTAGCTCAGCCGTTAAGTCTGAACCGTTTTTAAGAAGAGTGTCTGCTAAATGGCTGATTCTTGTATACGGTGCTGCAGCTGACACCTCTGAGCGAGCATTTGATGCACTTGCTTTCTTCAGGCGGGTAATTTACCTCCCTCCGTTTGTCTGGATCCGCTCGGCGCTATCAGGCAGTTGCGTCTGTTTTGACAGCTCACTGATGTGGTAATTACAGCTTTTGCTCAAATCACTCATCTAATCCCTGTTGTTCTTTTGTCTACACAGAAAAATATTTTGATATGAAGAAGAACCAGTGCAAAGACGCTTTGGACATCTACAAAAAGTTCCTGTACAGGATGACCAAGTTGTCTGAGTTTCTCAAAGTAGCAGAGGTACTGTTTTATCTCTTCTAAATAAACACACAGGCGCACTGAAGGAGGACTCTGATGATCTGCAGGCGTCGTCGTACCTCCTTTTTAGTCAATAAACTGTCAGACTCGAGTCTCACCATGACTCATTCTGCCATTCAGGGCTGTCTACGTGCAGAGATGGAGGGATAGATGTACTGTGGCCACCATTTTTTCTGACATCATAGTGATTCGTGATGTGGGAAAAAAATAATAAAATTCCAGCATATCTAAGCCTCAGTTATTGACAGTAGTACATACCATTTATAAAATGAAGGTTCTTACTGAAGGCGTGTCATTACCAAAAGCAAGTTTCAGTTACTGAAAAGTTCTTTAGCGACCTATGGGTCTTACGCAAGGACATTATTAATATTTATTCAAATTTTATTGTAATTGTATTGCCAAACACACATTTAGTGTCGAGTCTAAATTTGGTAAGGCTAATAAAAGTATAATGTGGTATCATAAACATTTGAATTTGCATCTTTTTATTTAATCGATTGTTCAACGTTTAGCTTTTGTTTATATGTTTTTTAATATTTCCGTGCGTACGTTTTTAATGCTTTTTGTTGATAAGCTGATTACATTACAATTCGCATTGCGGAAACATTTCAATTTCCCGTTTTTTTGGAGCAGAAATTCGACCTTAGCATCTCCAGCAATCTTGAAATAGGTTGTCCTCTATCTTCTTCGGGCTGTAGACGCAGTGTAGAGAAAGAAGGTCCTCGCTCTTGCATTCGGTCTCTTTGGCTATTTGTGTCTCTCACACTTTCTCAAAGTTTCAGTCTCTCACTTTTTCTTTCACACACTCGCGCTCTCTGTGTGGTGTGACCAGCGTTAGCTGCTTTCTGAACTGTCAGAGTGCTGTGGCACCTTCTTTCTGAACAGAGGGCTGCATTTCAGATGCTGATGAATTGCTCATTTTCTTTCTCTCTCTCTCTCTCACACACACATTTGCACATGTGCAGCATTTTTCACTCTCTCTTTAAATGCAGCGAGCGAATCTGAGACATGATTTTCAAATTGGCTTTTTGAGAAGAATGGCCACCTCGGTTGGGTTTTCAATTCTTAAAGACTCAGTCTTCATGTGTGTGTGCGTGTATGTACCAGGCTTATTTTTTCGTTTAAATCGCTTCTGAGCCTCGGCCATCTAAAGCGTCATCCGCATCTACATTCATGTCCATCTCTCCCGAGTAAGCCGCAGCATGGCCGACCTTCACGTCTCCGTTCACATCGATCTTTTTGTTGTTTTCAGTTTACAGACACTGCATGAAGTAATGACCCTTTGTTATATTGTTCTTTTTTTTTTTCTTTTCTTTTATCTCCCCCTCCCTTTGTTTGTGTGTGTTTGTGTGCCTGTTTTTTTTTTGGTTTGTTTGTTTGTTCGTATGTCACAGCAAGTTGGGATTGATCAGGGTGACATCCCAGATCTCACTCAGGTCAGTGTACATTTCATCTCCACTTCCTGCTCCACTTCCTCCACCCTCTTCTCTGTTCTCTATCCACCCTCACTATGATCTTTTTTTCTGTTTCAATTGACATGCTTTTTTTTTTTTTGATGGCTAGTGTCAGTCGTCCACTCTTTATGGGGTAAAAGAACAGTGATTTACAACACACATGCTTTTAAAATGATGAGCAGTAACACTGAAGACAAGTTTGCGTTTGATTTAATGATACCAGCTCAGAGGAAGAGGGAAAGCGATTAGCCTGTGTGCACCGGATTCCTTTGACGTATTTCAAAGTCGAAGCTCTACAATAAGCAGACACAAGATGTTTGTGTGGCTGAATTCTGGAAACCACCAATGTGTGTGTTTCATGTGTGTGAAGGATGAGTGTTTGACTGTACTGTTAGATTGCAGCTCCTCAGTAACCGAGCCTTTACTGTTCCTTCCAGACCATCAGAGGATGTTACATTGTAGGTGATGGGTTGTGCACACTGCTTGTACTGGTCATGCCCCATGCTGCTTCAGCATGTGTAATAGGGTGCACAGATCACACTCCTCACTTCCTGAAGCTAACACGCTGAATGAGCCTACCCTGCGTGATGTCCTCACACCACGGCTACTGTGTGTGTGTGTTGTGTGTGCATGTGTGTGTGAGCGTGTGTGATGATTGAGCAGCGCTGAAGAGAGACCGGAGGCTGAATTTCTTTACCTATCGTGCTCCGTTCACTCTGTTCGGTTTATAGGGAGAAATATTTCCCACTGGCAATCTGCAAGACGCTTGTAAAGTAACCTCCGAGTGTCCTCAGCACACACACACACACAGGCTTCCATTATTCAGCGCTTAAATCAAAGGTGTGACTGTCAGAGACTCGCGTTGTCGAGCCACTGAGCAGAAAAGCAGCGTTGTATTAAAAGCTGACATTCTCTTTTATTTATCTCTTCTCGTTTTGCGAAGCTGGCAGGATCCTTTAAAAAAAAATTCTCAGTAGAGATCTTCCTATTTTCAGAGAATCTGGAAATTTAGCTTGGCCAATTTTCAGTTCCTGTTAAAGACTGTGGAAATATAAGCAAGTGAACATCGAATTGCCAGTCACGTCCAGGCGTGTGTCATTGTTTTCACCCTCTACTTCCTCTTACAACATAGAAGTGTGAATCATGCACGTCTTGTAAGCTGTACAAGAGGAGAAACGTATAGTGGGAAAGTGAAGGTTTGTTCTCAGCAGCAAGCACAATGTTCAAGTAGCAGCCTTGGCGAGTAGAACGTTTAATATATATCCAGTGTAATATAAGCGTGTGGTCATCATTTTAGGCCAACAGTGATGTATAGATATAGTAGTTGACTACACTGAATAAGTAAGGAAGAAAACATGACCGGCTGTACAATCAGGAGCTGTGTTTTATTCGGCCTATACCCCAGCAATTTTATTAACAATTACATTTTTATGTATTAAAAGAAGGACACTGATATATTTACAGTTACAGTTAATGTTGAACATTATATTTTATACCGCTGCACGGAGCTCTCAGATCTGATTGGTCAGGAGGTGTGCATTATTTATATAACAGCACGGCTCAGGCTGTGGTTTAGCAGGTGGCTCAGTGGTTAAAGCTCTGGGTTAGTGATTAGAAGGTCCGGGGTTCAAGCCCCAGCACTGCCACACTGCCACTGTTGGGCCCTTGAGCAAAGCCCTTAACCTGCTCTGCTCCAGGATCTGACCCTGCGCTCTGACCCCAGCTTCCTAACAAGCTGAGATATGCGAGGAAAACAGTTTCACCGTGCTGTAATGTATATGTGACAAATAAAGGCTGCTTCTAGTTCCAGCTGTAACATGAACAATAGGGCTATATCACTCCTGTACGTTACTGGTAGTAACTGGTCATGCCCGAGGACTTGCATGGTGGACGCTCCGCATACTTTAAGACTAATAGTAAATAGATTTTAAAAGTCGTGGTGTGTTTAACAAAGAAAAACATACAATCATTAACGTGGTGACTTTTTTTTTGTTAGACATTTATTTAACATAAAGTATTTGCGGGTGTCAGCGCTTTGTAACAGTCACGGTGCTTTGTAAAGTTTCCCATCATGACAAAAGCAGTTTCTTGGTAAAATGACAAGCCTCTTTAAGTTAATAAGCCACAAACCCCTCTCTGAAGACCTTCTCGTGGTGGATAAATTAGCACTTTGTAACAGACAGTGGCAAAGCTGAAACTAACACTGGAGTCTCCTTCCAAAAATGTGAAATAACATCAAGAAATATATTTTTCGTATTCATTTGTGGAGCATTCACCATAGAACAAGCACTTTAATATTAAACCGTTCACTTATATAAACCTGTGATCGTCCTTGCAGCCGGCACTACTATCAGAGCTTCTGTTGTAGAAAATTAATCAGCACCTTCTGACCAGTCGCCCAGTTCAACAGCACTATGATGTGATTTAATTATTTAAAAAATTTTTATTACTACATATCATCCCTTAAAGGAAATTGCTTTAAATTGCAATCTGTGTAAGTTCTGCTTCTAAAGTCTACAATAAGTTGATTTGATTCTTTGTCCCTCTAAGGGCTCATCTAACAATCTTTTTTTTTTTTTTTTTTTTTTTAAAAGTAACGGAACTGTCCTTAAGACCATGATAGGGATTCTCCCAAGGGGACGTGTCGAGCGCGTGTTGAAATCAGTATTGAAGTGCGGCAGCAGCTGGCTCAGAGAGAACGTTTAGCTCCCTCGGTGGCTTTAAGTGCAGTTTAAACATTAGCCATGTGAACAGGAAAGTTGGCACCGAGTCCCTGCTCTTCTCCCAACCTGCGAGACCCAGAGGACACTGCCTTAGCTAACACTGACCTGGTCTAATTGAAGCAGTACAGGGCTGTTTACTTTAGAACATTAAGCATTTAGTTTTCGGGATCTTTTAGCTGTTGCTAAAAGTTGTCATTTGTAAAAGGTACCCGTGGGTAAGGCAGAGACGGCGTTCTCTCGCTGCGAAGCGCGTACTGTAGATTTAATCAGTATAAAAGGGCAAACATGATGCACTGCATGATTAACAGTGATAAACTGAATATGGCTGTCTTTCAAAATAAAGGTCACGGTGTATTAGTGGCATTTCTCGCGAATCTGTACGTGTTGCAGTAACAATGGGCGGATGCCTTGTGCTGACGTGACAGTTTTAGGACAGAATTCTTAAGTGTGCATGTTTCCTGACTGACTACACTATTCTCTTTCTTTATCTGTTTTCTCTCTCGCTCTCTCTCTCTCTCTCGATGGTGAAAGACAGACTGAATGTGCATGTTTTATTTGCATGTGTGTATAGTTAATCAGCACTGATTTTATACAATTTGATGATAATGTAATATGTTTATTAACATAGACAATAGTTCTAAATTAAATAGACTAAATGTCTGCTGTTTTTGTTCCCTGACTTTCCAACCGTAATCAAATACACCTGCTTGTCACATTTTGACACTCCTGGAGGGTTGACTGATTAAATCAGATGTGTTTTTAAAAAAAAAAAAAAAAAAAAAATCAGTCCAAACCAATGCAAGAGACTGTGTTTTAACTGAGAGCTTGAATAGAGCTAATTTTATGAATTATATTTATGCCGTTTGTCAGCCTGTCTATACCTCTTTATCCATAGAAAGAGACCAGCAGCAGGGACCACCATGGATCAGATATTCTGTAATGGTCCTGCGGTGATCCTTTGCCATAAAGGAAGGCTGACAAATTGTGCATATCAGTAGATGGGCTACAATCATTAATTCTGTACCCACAAAGTGACCTATACTGTAAGGCCAAAGGATTGTGGACACCTGACCCTCACAGCCACTAGTGCGTTTTGAAGATCCCAGTCCAGATTTAGTCCCCTATGCTGTTGTAATAACCTGCACTAGAGTTTGGATCCATCGTGGCTGTGAGGATGTGCTCATTCAGCTGCCAGAGCATTAGTGAGTTTGTGCACTGATGTTGGGTGAGCAGGTCTGGGGTGCAGTCTGCGTTCCGGTTCATCCCAGTGGGGTTGAGGTCAGGGGCATTGTCATGCTGGAACAGGTTTGGGCCTCTTAGTTCCAGTGAAGGGAAACTGTAATGCTGCAGCATACACAGACATTCTACACTGTTGTGTGCTTCCAGCTTTGTGGCAACAGTTTGGGGTGTGATGGTCAGGCGTCCACAAACCTTTGACCATATATTGTATATACACATGTGGTGAATAGTAGCAGATCACCTAACTAGTTTTAATTATTTCCATTATCTTCTGATAAACCGTGCTCGTGTTAGTTTGTCTCGTAGTCCCTTTTTTCTGTTTGTCTCTCTTTATATCTCTATACCCATCACTTGAGTGGATGGATGGACGGATAGCTGTATAGGCATGTAATAATGAGAGAAAGCAAATGCTGGTTGTGCATCGCTGCCTGCTCCTTCTGTCTTTCTCTCATCACACTCTTTGTCTCTCTGTAGGCTCCCAGCAGTCTGCTGGAGGCTTTGGAGCAGCACCTGGCCTCTCTGGAGGGCAAGAAGACTAAAGAGTTCTCTGCAGACAGCAGGTACGCCACCGTGCTGAGCGTCAGACACGCGAGGTGGAAGTTTCCTTTTGGGAGCTAATGTGAGATCAGCTGGCAGTAGCCAGATGTTCAGGACGGTGGCATAAGTGTAAAACCGCTTTCACAGCTAGGTTTAGATGCACTGTGTGAGTGATAGAGTAAGTCTGAGGAACTTGGGAAGTAATCAGCCTGGTCTCAGACTGGGTAAATCATCTTTTATCACTGTTTTATATAATGGACACCTGACAGCTTCCTAAAAGCAGGTCTGGCTGTGAATTTTTAGTTGAGTTATGTAAAGGAAAAAAACACATTCAGCACAACAGTTTTAAGAATGTTTTCATATAATAGAACGTCCCAACGTGTTGTATTTATCTCTGACTGTTACAAAGCGGAGACTCCTTCCAAAAATGCTAAGCAAACATCCCTTTTCGGAAAACTGTCCTTATCACCATATACAGTAAATGGCGTGATACGTTTTTTTTTTTCCTGCTTAAATTAAACATTTTTAAATGTGTTTATTATTAATCTTGGCTTATGAGGAGGGTTTGCCAGCAAAGGCCATGTTTATTAGCCATTACTGCAGGAACACTAACGTATGAGAATGAGTTTGTATAAACCTGTGATTTGCTCCGCTGAAGGCACTGCTGCCAGAGAAAATGAATCAACACTTCCTTGTCAGTCAGAATGGAGAATTTAACAGTGTTATGTAATGAGTTTTATTCAGCACCCCTAGAGCTTGATGTGAGCAGGAATAGAATTAATCTAGAGGCTTAATACGAGATTCCTGTGTATACGGATATAACAGCAAGGAGGAGTTCAATCTGATTATGCAGTGCTGTGATTAGCTGAGATTTGAGACTCTGCTCATGCTGCAGTAGTAATTAAATCTGAATAAATCACTGCTCTTCCTCTAAGGTGCTAACCACATTTCACATTAGTCCGCGTGTGTGTGTTTGTGCTCATGTGTCCCTGTAGAGCCACCACTCTGTCCAGCGCCGTGTCGTCCCTCTCAAACACAGGCATGTCCTTCACTCGTGTGGATGAAAAGGAGAAGCAGCAGGCTCTAGAGGAGGAACAGGCCAGACTGCAGGCTCTCAAGGTGGGCTCCAGCTTTCCTGTGAGTTAATCACATTTAGCTTTGTTTACTGTTTATCTTTTAATTAAATGCTGTTCTATATTTGATAAACTCTTTACCAAAAGATTTGCTGTCATGGAAACTGATTATTATGGGCTCCAAATAGTTTTTCGCCTTAGCGACCTTTCAGGAAGAAGTCTGATTGATTTTGCAGCTTATTATAAAAAAGATGGAAAGTGAGGAATTGATTGCGAGTGTGCTGTGCTTTTCTGGTGCGGAGGTACCCTGACTAGGCAAGAAACTTCAGAGGCGATATTTAGGTACAGTGTCTTGGGAGTTATATGTTCCACCTGCCAAGGGATGAAAGTACCAGTCTGGTTTTTTATTTATTTATTTATTTATTTTTATTTTTTTTATTTTAGCTCAGTGTCCTTAGTGTAGGGTGTGACGTGACAAGTATACATCACAACACATTAAGACATTTGTGCAATACACAATATGCATCACGATGTAGAACAGTTTACTAACAAACTGCAAAACGTTGGTATTGCAATTTTTTTAAATTTTTTATTTTCCTCCCTGATTTTGGTCTTGCCCAGTTCCCACCCATCAGCCAGCTCTTCCCTACTACACTACAGCTACCATCTGCGGAGGGGGAAAGGTAACACGTGCTTCCTCTGAGACAGCTGAGAGCATCTTTTCAAACTGCTGCTCATGCTGCATCATAGGGCAGCGTAACACACAAAGGAAAGGAAAGCTCTGTCTGCCCTCTTCCTCATACATAACCTCACAGATGCCTCTGAATGAACCGGAGTTCATTTATACTATTATTTAATGTCTACAGAACTAAATAGTTGACGATACCTGCAATATCTCGAAGTGTGTTATAACTCATATTGCCCAGCGCTGGTCTGTTGTGGGAACTGATCTTCAGTACAGACAGTCAAAACAGTTTTATTGTCCTCACCAGTCACAGTCCTGTAGTCTTGCCAGTATTGTGCAAGGATGATTCAAAGAAAACACACTGAATGCATCATGAATTTTTAAAGCGA